CTTCCCCTGCCTGCCGCTGCACGCCGGCCCCGACGGGCTCTGCCCGCTGCAGGACAAAGTCCCCCGGGACCTGAAGGCCAGCGGGCCCACCTTCGTGCCTTCCGTGGGACACCTGGCCGACAAGAGCCGCCCCTTCCAGGCGGCCGAGGCCTGTGCCGTGGCCGGTGAGGGCAAAGACCGGCACCCGGAGGGGGTCTTGGCCCCTGAGCACGCCGCACCCTACGGCGTCTCCTACGCCCACCTGAAGGCCGAGGGCAAGGGCGAGCGGAGGCCCGGGGGCTTCGAGGCCGCCCTCAACCCCCGCCTGAAGGGCCTGGAGAGTCTCCGCAGCGTGGGCCCCGAGGGCCCCTTCCCCGGGCTCCCCACAGCCGGGCTGGACAAAAGCAGCTACTTCGACTTGCCCGTCCCCTCCCAGGACTGTGCCCGGCCGAGTCTCCCAGACCCTCTGGGCGGGAAGGTCACCCAGGCCTGCTGCACTTTAGATAAGACTGCCAGCAAGGAGACCCCCACGGGTCCCCCCGGGGCCCAGAAGGTGGCCCGGATCCGGCATCAGCAGCACACGGTGGCCCCTGAGGTGGAGCCCGGGGTCAGTGGGGCCGAGGCCAAGCGCAAGTCCTTGGAGCTGGCATCTCTGGGCTACGGTGGGCCCCAGCTGCCCCCGTGGAGTGTCCAGTCGGGCCAGGGCGCCCCCATGGCCATCGGTGAGGAGCGCAAGGGGTCCTACCTGGACCCCTTCGGCGGCAGCCTGCAGCAGCCCACGCTCCTGCCACAGGACCTGCCCGCCCCGGCCGACGAGGTCTCGGCCATGAAGAACCTGCTCCAGTACAGTAAGCAGGCCCTGGTCGTCAGCCAGAAGGCGCCCTTCGTGGGCCTGGGTGGCCTCAAGGCCAGCTGCGCCCAGCAGGACGTGAAGTTCCCAGCCTCCAAGGGCCCGGGCCAGGCCCCCGGCGAGGTGGACAGGCCCGACTGTGCCCGAAGCCGGGAGCACGACCCTCTGCACGGCGACGGAGAGGTCCGGCAGCCGCCCGTGGGCATCGCAGTGGCCTTGGCCCGGCAGAAGGACACGGTGAGCCGGCCAGAGACGGCCTATGGCACCAACACTGGGCGGCAGGGCCGGGCAGCCCCCGCCTTCAAAGGTACAGACCCACCCCGGGGAGGGAGGCATGGGGTGTGCTGCTGACCTGCCCTCGTCCACCCTCCCAAGGCTCCCAGAACCCGGGCCATCCCACCAGACCCTCCCCACACCCACCGACCTGACCGGCCCCACCTGGCGCCCGTGAGCCCGAGCCCTGCCCTCGGCAGACCCTCGAGGCCTGTGGGGCTTCCGGCTCCTGGGCTGCCCTCCAGCTCGAAGTGGGGTCACCGCTCCCTTTAGCCACTGGCTTCTCAGCTGCCCCAACCCTGTCCCTCTGCCATCCCCACCCTGTGCAGCTGGCGGTGGGCCCCGCTCCACCCACGCTCTGAGCCTGGAGGCGGAAGAGGAGAGGGCCCGCCTGTGCGAGGACCGCCTGGGGCTGGCCGGCCGCGAGCTGCTGCTGCAGTAAGAACCGGGCAGCCTCGGGACGCGGGGCAGCCTTCGGGACGCGGGGCAGCCGCTCGCGCCTCTGGGCTGGCCCACCCGGGGTGTGAGACAGAGCGGCCAGGGCGCCAAGTTGGGTGGCCTGTCAGGGGTGGGGCTGTGCACCCACCCCGCTCTTGTTCATGCTGGGGTTCCTGTCCATGTTGTGGGGAGCTCTGCTAACACCCCCTCTACCAACGGGGCCTCCGATGCCAAGGTCTGCTGGAGCCTGAGCTCATCCCAAGACCCTGCCTCCCAGGTCGATGGCCACGGGGTGGGCTGGAGCGGATGAGTGGTCGGGTGGCTGTGCTGAGCCCTCCCTCCGTGACGTGCAGGGACAACAAGGACCTCGTGGAGTTCCCCCGGATCCACCCGTCGGGCAGCTGCCCTGGCGACCTGGCCCCCCACCTCATGATCGCCGGAGGCTCCTCGCTACAGAGCGGCCAGCTGGGCACGGAACCAGCCCCCCACCCGCACCCTGCCCACCCCCCCTGGCTGCCCCGCACCCGCAGCCCCTCCCTGTGGATGGGGGGCCATTCCTACGGTCAGTGCTGTGGTCAGTGGGGGGCAAAACCGGGAACCTGGCCGGGCCTGAGGCCGACATCCGCGGCCCAGCGTGGGAGACCTGGGAACAGCAGGGACCCTGGCCGCCTGCGGTCCCTGCTGCCCGCCCACCCAGCACTGCCTGACCACTGCACCCTGCCCCCCAGGCCTCGGGCACCCCGCCCTGCACCAGAACCTGCCCCCCGGCTTCCCCGCCTCGGTGCCCGGCTCCATGCCCTCCGTCTTCCCCCTCGCCCAGGATGCCCCGACTCAGCTCGTCATCCTGCCCTCGGAGCCCGCGCCCCACACCGCCCCCCATGCCCTCGGTAAGGGCGTCCGGGCCAGGCCGCTTGCTCGTGGGGGTGTGGGAAGCAGGTCTGAGGGGAGGGAGCAGCCCCCGTGGGGCAGGGGCGTCGAGGGAGGCGAGGTGGGTGAGGTGGCGGGCAGGGGCGGAAAGGCCGGCTCGGGTGGTGGGGACGCAGCCAGGCGCCCTATCTCTGCTGGGGCTGACGGCTGCTCTGGCCCTGCTCGCAGCCGATGTCATGGACCAGGCCTCGCTGTGGCCCCCCGTGTACGGGGGCCGGGGCCCCGCCTCCCATGTGCAGCACCCAGGCCAGCTCCCCGTCTACTCACGGTCCCACTTCCTGCGGCAGCAGGAGCTCTACGCCCTGCAGCAGCCACAGCAGCACCCACAGCACGCAGCGCAGCAGCCACCGCAGCGGGCCGCCCCGTTCCAGGTACCCACCCCAGCCACAGCCAGTGGGACCCGGGTGTGGACGCGCCCTCTCTGCTCCAGCCTGGCCTGGCCCAGGAGTCCCCAGCCCTGGTGCCCTGAGCGGGGCCGAGCCTGGCTGAGCCTCTCCCCCACCCGACAGCGGAAGGCCGAGGACCACCACCTGGAGCTGGAGGAGCCCGCCCAGGAGAAGGCCCTGAAGTCCACCCACAAGCCAGTTGCCTTAACCCCCACGGCCAAGGGCGCCCCCTCCCCTGCCACCGCAGGCCCCGCCAAGCTGTCACCCTGCTGCCACTCTCCCACCCCGAAGCCCCCGCAAAGCCGCCCCACACCGCCACCGCCGGCGTGTCCTGGCGCCCCGTGCACTTTACCCGTCTGCCCCGCCGGCAGCCCTGGGCCTGGCCCCCAGCCGCCCAGCACCGAGGATGAGAGTGGGGAGGGCCGGCAGGCCGGAGCCGGCCTCAGCGCGTTGGAACCAGGTGAGCGCAGGCGGCACCGGCCTGGCTGAGGCATCTGCAGGCGCCCTCACCTACCCGGGCCCCAGGTGGGGACCCGGGGCAGTGTTACCTGTTCCCTGCTCTGTCCTCAGTCCTTCTGGGTGACCCACGCGAGGAGCACTCAGAGTCCTCACCATTCCCTTCCCAGCCCCTGGCAGCGGGGGTGGGACGAGGGTCAGGCCCAGGCAGGCAGCGCTGGGGTCCTGTGGATGACAAAGTGCCTGGCCCGCTGGGGACAGTGACAGAGCCTCAGGGCAGGGGATGTCACACTTGGCTGTTGGGGGCAGAGATGCCGCCCACCTGGCCCTGAGCGGGCGGGGGGAGGCGGCCTCGGTGCAGGTCCTGGCCGGCCTCGGTCTGCAGCCCGCCCGCCGCCTGCCAGCTCCCCCACGGCTGTTGGATTCTGTCTGAATTAGGCTGAGTGTTTACACTGGAACCTCGTGTGGCGAACATAAAGCCCGCCCCAGTTCCACAATACGGACACCGAGCCAACAGAGGTTTTTTTTTTTTTTATTGCAGTTAATGGGGCGTAATGCCTCTGACAGGCTGCCGCTCGCTCTGGTTCAGGAAAAGCCCTGATTCGAGTTACCTTGTGTTAAACCACCCCCCTCTGGTTAGCCACACAGCACCGTGCCAGAGGTGGCCCCCAGGGACTCCCATGGACCCCCCAAGGGTACAGCTGCAGCCGTCCTGGCCGGGGAGAGGGGCCTGGCCCTGTGACCTCCCTCCTAGGAGTGGGTCTGAGGGCTTTGAGGCCCCATGTGGGACAGGGCTACCCCTAACCCCAGTCACTCTCTCCTGATGACACCCCTCTTTTGCAGACCTGCCTCCTGGACACATGTGCCCCACGGCCAGCTCGGGCTTCTCCTTGCCCCCCAATGTGCATTCATCTGACCTCTCGGACCCCGAAACTATGCAAACCACCGCCCCCAGGGCCCAGCCTGAGCCAGCGAGAACGTTTCTGCCTGGGCCTCCATGCCCCCGAAGCCCCCGGAGCCTGGAGGAGCCTGGGCTGCCGTCGGGGGCCAGGGAGGCCACCCAGGACATTGCTGCCACCCCCCACCCTGCCGAGCGGGGGCTTCCGAGGATGGCAGCGGACCGCAGCCCACTGGAGGGGCTACAAGAACTGCGATGTGGGGCCCTCCTGGAGGGAGGGGGCCCCGAGGCCACTGGCCGGGCTAATTCTACTCAGGGAGGGGCCCGGGAGGAGAGGACTAAGGGGGAGGGGAGGGTGGAGGGGGAGCAGGGGCCGCCGCTGGGGGCCGGCCCCCAGGCCCTAGAGCAGCAGGCGGGAAGGCCCTGCTCCCCAGAGAAGGCCGAGCGGGGCGAGCGGCAGGCCCCCGGGGAGGCAGGCGCCGAGGAGGCGGCCGAGCTGGAGGAGGAGGAGGAAGAGGACTGGCGGTCGACACCCGACAATGGCCACCTACCCAGGGCGCTGCCAGGCCTGGACGCCCTGGTGGCAGCCAGCATCAACCTGGGGGACCTGCCCAGCACCAGCCCGCTGGAGCCCCAGCCCCCCGCTGCCCCTGGGCTGCCCAGCACAGCCCTCCTGCCCCATAGCTCAGGGATTCACGGCATTGCCCTGCTCAGCGAGCTGGCCGACCTGGACGTCCAGCCACAGGGGAGCGAGCCAGCCCTGCCAGGTGAGCACCGCCTGCTGCCCCATCCCTCTGGGGCCCCGGGAGCTGGACCTCGGGCATGGGCTCCGGGCCAGCCGGCCAGACAGCAGCCTTCAGCCCTGCTCTGTCAGCCTACGGCGTGTTGCCCACCCCCGCCACCCACTGGTCCATGGGGACGGGGTTCTCGTGGCCAGGATGGTACCCTGACCACAGGACCAGAGGGGCCTCCAGGCAGCACCTGGTGGCTGCGGATGTTCATGACACCTTGAGGAGGGCTGAAGCCTGTCCGGTTTCACACATGGGGTTCCCGA